TTATGTACAATAATATAGTATTCCAAATGTGTGAATTCATATTAAGTATATCACTGAAATATAACCAGTCACATGATTCTAGGATTTAATTTGAAAGATTTTCGTCATCTGAACTTGCATAATGAACAAACAGTTAAATTTAATTTTAAGCACGATATATCAAATTTTTCCTTTCAAATGCATAATTTTCTCTTTTGAACTTAATTCTCAAGCCTTAATAAATCCCAGGAAAAAAACATATCGTTGCCAAAAGTTTACTTGGAATTCTCACATTCCCTTTTTTCCTGATATAATGTGATTTATGTGTATGCTCATTAACTGCACATTTTACACTTAACGTTTTTTTAAACTATAAATTATAAAATCTACATACCAAGAGAAAAATTATACTTTTCAACAGTATATTAATGAGTTTTTACTTCTACCAAGTATAATTTTATGTAAAATTACAGTCAAATATTTATAAAGCATTTACTATTTTAAAAGTACATTAAAAATTAAGAGACCAAGAATAAAAAAGAGTATTATCTTAAGAGATCCCTCCCCCCCACCCCTGAAACTGGGACAAAAATAAGTATCTAAAATAATATATAACATACACATTAAACTTAATAACAGATTATGAATAGTCTTATTCCTCTTTTAAGATAGTTTTACTTTTTATTATCTAATTAGTACATACTGTTTTAAAATTAGGAAACACGTGCTAAAAACTGCTAATGCTATTTAAAGCTTTCAGACTTTTAAAATTTGTATTCTAATATAAATTCATATAAACAAAAACATGCATATGCTTTCCAAAATAATATTTGTACTGCAGTACATGTTCTATTTTATAACTCCTTTTTCACATAATAGATCTTCAAGCCCCTTAAATATGAAATCCAATTCATGTATTTCATGTTTAAAACATTTCTTATCAATGTTTAAGTATTATTAAGTTTTATAATTATCAAGGCAATTGTTTCATTCCAATATTTTTAAAGACAAAAATTAATTTGATTTCTTCAAATCCTTCACAAAATAAGTCTAACTAAAACGTCTAAACATAGCCTATGCATTTTTGGTTTTCATCTAAAATTACTGTCATTAAATGATATTAACCTCAACTAAAGAGGATAATAGATTTTAATTAAGCCTTTCCATGTTAATATGTCTTACAAGGTAGTTTCCAAAGTAACATTCAAAGACATTTAAAAGTATTACTAAGAAAAAACATGTGCCCTATTAAACACAGCATTTCGAGACATCTCCTACCATACAGTAATTTCAGATTACTTAGAAAGAAATATACTATTAATATTGTGCCAAGGGAAATTATCTGAGAGCACTGGGATGGTCTGCTACCAACGTGTTTTGCAGAACACTAGATTCATAAGACCCATTTCAGCTATGTGCTTTTGGAAAATCATTTAACCTCTTAAAAGATAAATTTCTTCTCCAGTAAGAGTTACTAATGCCTCCAAAGAGTTGTTTAGAAGATTACAGTTACTTATCATTGAAATACATTTGAAAAGAAAATCAGCACTGTTTTGTGATAAAAATCAAATTTATTTATTTAATTCTTTGGTGGATCAAATTGTTTCAAACTAAAAAGTTTTGGCTATTAAATCAAAAGATGCATTCTATCACACATCTTGGGATTTTGCCAATTACTTTTTTAAAAAACCTATGAATATACTATCACATTGTAGATCAGAGGTTGGCAAACTATGGGCCATTAGCCAAATCTAGCTGGCTGACTAGTTTGGTAAATCAAGATTTACTGGAACATGGTCACACTNAAATGGTGCTTTGGGATCATTTTAAAAAATATTATTTTTGACTTGTATTAAAGCATTGTTTTAACTGATAAGACACTAAACATAACAGGCACTGGAACATTGTTAGAAATTAAAAAAAACACACGAAAACAACAAATAAAAGCAAATATTGGTATGAACGCCTTTTTTGTTCATGTATCTTTGCCATAAAAGGTACACTTTAAAGAAGGCACAGGGAAGGCAGTGGCAGAATCACACGTCTTTCCAAACTCTCCTCCAAACACACCCACACATTCACATAATGGAGATACATCCAATAGCAGGAAAACTACACTGCACGCAGTGGCTTTTCTGAAACTATGTTTTATCTTCTGCGCATTATTTCTTCATCGCCACCTCTTCCAACACTGCGGCTTTTATTCTCTGCTATGTTCTTGGTTCTTGCATCTCTTCTGTTTTAATTTCTCTGACTTCTCAAATTATATGTGAGAATATATGTTGGTTTGTTCATAGACATTTTCAATTTTATAGAAAAATTCCCAATATTCTTTTTAGAAATGAATAAAAAGCCACCAAATAGCATTACACAGATATTGGAAAATAAAAGCAACAATCACAAAGTTAATGTAGTACAGAAATCCTTCCTGAGTAATTAAGGAAAACTACTCCTTGCCAGCAAAAACAGGCCTATCAAAAGCATGTACACTGTACTGGCATTAGGTTACACACTTGCAAAAATTTTTAATTACACATTGATAAGCATTCTTAATTTTACATATTGTTTTCACTTATCAATTTCAATCACAATATAAATTACACCTTCATTTATCTTAACACTTTCAAGATCATTATGACTTTCTTCTTAATTTAAAGTCAATCTTCCAAATGGCTTATTTTTAATAAAGATGAATAACAACACCTTCAAGTGCATGGATCTTTGAAAAAATTGCTTATTATATGATCAGACTAAATAAAATACAAATGGCTAATAAACAGGAAAGCACAATAAAGCTACCTGCTGGGAGTCATTTGATTTGAAAGCATCCTTCAGAATTTCAACTGCTCTTGATGGATCAACATATTTCCTTTTAGTACCAACAAGAAGTGCAAATAGATACCTCAGTTCATGCATAAAAGGCAAATTCCGATGCTCCTATTGAAGAAAAAAGAAAAAAACCTTTAAATGAAGATTAACAAAATCTTACTGGTAGACAGGTATTCATTTTAGAATTCATGGAAAATTTAAGTAATATAATTAGGAATGAGCACAGCACTCCTGTAGCATAATTAAAGGAGGATGTTGGTGTCATCTAGGAGACTCAAATGAGTCAAGCACAAAACCAAAAAAGGACCTAAACTAAACTCACAATTTCAGCATAAATGCCACATATTCATAGTAAATCACGTCAATGCCCAGCCAAAAGTATTCTCCTCATTCACGTCTGTTTATTATAATCCTTTCGTTCAGCAAGGCCCAGCTGCCACTGAGGACAGCAATAACAATCACCATTCAGGGTGGTAACTCCGTGCCAGGCAATGCTTAAGTGCTTTACCTCAATAAACCCTTTAAGCAAAAATCCCTACTCTTCCATGAAGCCTTCCCAGGAGGCTTCTGCAAGTCAATGGTTCCTTCAAACTCCACATCTACTAAAATGAATGTCTTTTACTAACCAAAGAATCACGAACTGCCACTACCATGTGATGATCCTAATTATCAGACTAATATTGGTCTAATAATTGGACTAGATCCTAATATTAGACTAATGCATCATCCTCCTCCTAGCGCTCCTCTGAAATCTTACTTTTGTTTCTCAATAAGACTGTAAACTTCTTAAAGACAAGCACTTCTGTATCCCACAACTTTTTGCTACACAAAGCAGGCATTCAATTCTTATTGTTGGATTAAGCCAAACCCTCTAGAAAGAATAAAAACAACCCAATAATATCAGTCATGAACAATTTATTTTAAAACAGGAAGGAAGCTTTTAACAAGAATGTAGTTCACATACCTTAGAAAAATACTTGATGGTAACAAAAGCAGTTCTTATACAGTTAGCTCTTGCAATCACAATTTTAACAGATAAAGCTTATATATGCCATTTAAATATTAGAAAATATTTCCAAGTTTGTATGGTTGGCATTATCAACATTATAAAATTTTAGGGTGTGTGTATGTGCATGGTTGCTGTTCAGACTAATCGAATCAATATATTATAGAAATAGGAATGCATTAAAAAAGGAATCCTGAAAAATAGGCTTAAGGGAATATAACTGATCCCAAATACTTGCCATTTGATCCAAAAACTATATACCATTTTAGTGGTCACAAAGTACACNAAATTTAATGTCCCATAATGCCACTTCAAAATCTTAAAAATCTAATAAGCTTCAAACGCAACTGGAACTAGAATATGAAAATTTTGGTTACATAAAATATAAAAACAATACTGAAGTACATTCATAATTACTTAGAATAACAAAGTATATCTTTGTGCCTCTTGAAACGAAAGCCAATTATTGTTTCTGTTAGAAAGCGTACTTATATCGACTTACACAAATGACGTTTTTACCTGCTAATGGCTTGCTCCTCATCAGTTATTCCAGTCTCCCTGAATGCCCTGTTTGATTCCGCCAAACTCAGGGCAATTGCCCTCTGAAGGTCATCTTTATCATCTCCAGTGAGATCAATCACATCTGAAAAGCAAAACTATCTTTCTCAAAATCAAAAGTCAAACAAAATGAAGGTAGTTCACATCATGGAGATTTTATGCCCAACATCCCCCTTCAAACCAAAGTCAGCACCAGCTTGATCCTGTGTAAGAGCCTCTCTGAAGAGACTGCAAACCAACTGTAAATTGGTTGTACTTCAAAACTTAATGTTCTTCTCTAAAATACATCTAAAGCAATAAGAAAATACTTTTCATTGCAAAGGGATCTCAATATTTACTATGAAGTCTCTGACTAAAAGTTAATAAGCAGAAATTTGCTAAACAGTTTCTTTACCAACAAAAATTGCAATCAACATAATTAAACATTTACATCTATGCTTTCCAAAGTTAACCCAAATACACACTATAGTTCATCCATACTACTCCCTAGACATTATCTATCAAAATATAATTAACAACTGAGCTCACAAAAATTATGTTTCAGAAACTATTTGACCACATGTACGAGTATATAATGTACATATAAATTATACACTCATATATATGTTTATATATACATTATTTTTAAAGTCTGGAAGTATGAACCAAACTGTTGACAACAGTTAATTTTGATGAGGAGGGTTATGGGAGGAAAAAGCATAAGGATCTTTCACTTTCTATGTTAAATACTTCAGTACCCTCTGAAATATTTAATAAACATGCAGTTCTTTTAATTCAAAAACAGGATTTCATTTCACAAAAAGAAACATACAAATAAATGACACTATTTTCTTTTCTAACTAAAGAAAACAGGCTTAATGCTATAAAAATTCTTTTTCCAAAGACTAAAGACTATTACCGTCTTTAGAAAAAACACTTTTAATCTAATTTCCCAGTATAAACTGGTCAATTTCCGTAACCAAAAAGATGCCAATAATATTCCCATTATCATTTAAATCATAGGAACAATAATATGTTGCTAAGTAGAGGATTACAAAGCCGTCTGATGAGAAAGTATAGCTGTTACTGTCTTATCTTTCAGTGGTTGCGGTTACACTTGTTGATATTTTACACAGGTTTTGTATTAATTTTGTTTATTTGTATTTGAGACATGTTAAAAATCAATTCTTTCTTTATAATCCTGGAACTTTACAAGAGAGAAGCAAACAAAATGAATAGGGGATGGGCGGTTAGGTACTTGCATTTCACTATCTGGCTTTGGGTTTATATACATACTAACTAGAAAAGACTATCCCACCCTTAATGAGCAATAAATAGAGTATATTGACAGTTTCAAGGGTCTATTCTATTGCTAACCCACACTTTTTCTCCAAACAGTAGCTTACAAGAATTTTAAAAATATGAGAAATAATAGTTACCTATGGAAGATGTTTTTAAAATATGTATCCTTAGTATAACAAATCTCAAAAAATTTAATAAATAGGGTCCAAAAAAATTCCATCAGGTAAAATGTGGAATAAAGTTATACAGCAAGGTAACCAAAATGATGGGGCATCCTACACATACCAGCAGGCCAAGGGTTTCCAAAGTTTGACTTACAGCATCCAAGTCCACCTAGACCACAGCTGTCTAGTAACAACTTAAATATTGATGAAGCAGCAGCTAGGACTAGAGGCCTGAAAAGGCCTCATAAAAATAAGGACTATCATGGTCATTAAGTAATGACTATAACTTGAGTGAGTAAAGACAGAATAATGAAAGTAAAGGAATTTGAAAAGCTCAAAGCAGCAGAAAAACAGGCTTTGGGGATATGATCAATCAGCCCTCAGCCTCAATTCTCCTATCCTCCCAGTGTGCTTTCTTCAATTACAGAAGCTGGGAAGATGAAAATGAATCTATTTTCCTGATTCACTTGTGGTTAAAGTTCTGGATAAAATGTAGGTTCTACTAGCTGGATGCACTAATATGAGATTGGAAGGCAGAAGTGAGGGGGGAGCGATTATCCTGCTGCATTGAGCTATCTTCTCCAACATGACTGAACAGATGTGGGGTATTCCAGGGACGCATTCCAGGGTCCAATTTCCTGTTTCAGGGATGTCAAGAGATAGATGGAAGCGACAACTAGACTCTGCACTCCAATGTCCAAGCCCAGCTCAGTGGCAGTTGCCGAATCCTGGCTGCTTGTTCCTTGGGCTACGGCTACAGAGGGATGTTTCTGAACTCAGTAGTCCATCCCACAGGCAGCGTCCCAAGTCACTACCCTCCTGACTGGGGCAGAGGGAGGAGCTTCCCAGCCTGGCCAGTCCTGCAGGAACCTGGGAATCATTCCACAAGGCTGAGTTACAGATCTCTCTTCCGATCCTTCCAGAGATTTTTTTGAAAAACCAAATCCCATTTTAAATTTAAACCACAATGACATACCACCTCATACCAGTCAGAATGGCTATTATCAGAAAGTCAACAATCAACAAGTGTTGGAGAGGATGTGAAGAAAAGGGAACCCTCGTGCACTGTTGGTGGGACTGCAAACTGGTGCAGCCATTATGACAAACAGTATGGAGATTCCTCAAAAACTAAAAATAGAACCCCCATACAACCCAACAAAACACTAATTTGAAAAGATACATGCACCCCTATGTTCACTGCAGCATTATTTGCAATAGTCAAGATATGGAAACAACCTAGGTGTCCACTGATAGATGAATGGATAAAGATGTGGTACAGATATACAATGCAATTTTACTCAACCATAAAAAGAATGAAATCTTGCCAAATGCAACAACGTGGATGGATCTAGAGGGTATTATGCTAAGTAAATCAGAGAAAGACAAATACCACATGATCTCACTTATATGTGGAATCTAAAAATAAAACAAACAGAAACAGACTCATAGAAACAGAGACTAAAGGGATGGTTATCAGACAGGAGGAGGGGGCAGGGATGGATGAAAAGGGGAAGGGGAATGTAGTCAATAATACTGTCATAAGTTTACACAGTGACAGATGATTGATTCCTAGAATTAGTGGGGTGATCACACTGTAAGGTATAAAAATGTCAGGTCACTGTATTGTACATCTGAAACTAATATAACCAGGATAAGATTGTATACCAACTATACTTAAAAATAAGCAAATAAATAACTTCTTTGAAACAATCTGGAGTGATTACTGTTTCATGACTGGTCAGGTTACCTGTAAAAATGTGAACTCTCACTGGCCCTCCACCTATATATGGGGTATACCATACCCCATGCCTGACCTCAACTGCAGCCCTGTCACCCTCAGTCCCTATACCCTGTTCTAATGTTCTTCATGAACTTACCACTACCTGACATTATTTATCTATTGTTTACTTTCTGTCTTCCTCCTATGTAAACTGAGACTCTTTGTTGTTGTTTTTAATGGGCTAAATAAGTACCAGATATATATTAAGCAATCAATAAATAAAAGTTAAGCAGATTAAAGTTAATATCTAGACTGTGGAACAGAAATAAAAATTAGCGAGGCATTTTCATAGTGGAACTAATTGGAAGACTTGAGAAGATATGCTTTATCCAAAATATTTTCTAGTAAGTGAAAGGATACATAGCATAATAAGGTATCATGTTAAAACAACACTTGAAAGCCAGAAGACATAAGCAATATAAATTGTGTTTCCCATCCCACTCTCCCATTCTCCTCTGCCCTCAGTCAGCTCTCTTTTAAGATGGTCCTACTTTTCCAATCTTCTCACTGCTAAACTCAGATCTCTAAAACAGTGATGTCCAATAGAGCTTTCTGTGATAATGGAAATGGACTACTATCCGCATTGTCCAATACAGTAGCCACTAGACACACATGACTACTACGGAGCATTTATTGTAAAATGTATCTAGTATAACAGAGAAACTGAATTCTAATATTATTTAATGTTAATTTATATTTAAACTTAAGTTGCCACATGTGACTACTGGCAACTATATTGAACAGATTAGCTGTAAGTAATCTAGTTCTGTTTTTAATAATAGCTGCTAAAATTATAATGGTAAATAGTAAAGGAGCCATTCCTGAGTTTCGTCATCAATTTTACTATGTTCTCCAACTTGGATTGTGAAAAAAAAAATAATAATAAAGTTAACATTTTATATTACTCAACAAAAAGTGCTATCATTCTACCAGGCTATCATTCTACTCTAAAATGAAAGAAGATGTGTAAAATTATGCAAGTCCTATTCTACAGCACATATCTAATAGAATGTAAACCTAATGACATCCAAGCCAATCAGTTACAAGGAACATCATACCACTGAACCATCATTTTGCTAAGCTTAACCTGAACTTTTGGTGAATCTTCAAAATAGTTTTATGCATGAGGAATCTCTAAGAAAAAAAGAGATTCAACTTTCACTGTATTCATTTTTTTTCAATCTGCAGTTACTTGTTTAACAAATTTGGGGAATGGGAAAAACATCAGTGTTCAATTAATAAAACCCTACACTGCTTAATCTAAGTGATTTATCCTCAGCAGAGATGACAGCACTAAATTTGGATCTATTTATCACTTGTGCTTTATTTAAATCATTTTTAGGCTGACCAAGTAATGTAACCAACACCAGAGTTCTAGGAAAAAAAACCTCGATATTTTTCCCACTTTCTAGGCATTCCCCACCAAATAATTTAAGTTCTTTTGGGGAAAAAACATCCACTGATGCTAAATTTGTGAAGGGTCCACCACTTAACACTCATTCCAATGAACCAATTTCTCTAAAACTTAAGCCAATATGTGGCATTACTTTCTGTGTTAAAATTACCTACCTAAATCCCTCTCATCTTTTGGTCCATACTTTGATTGCTCAATTACGGTACATCTCGTTCTGGTGGACATATACTGTTTTTTTCCTGTTTTAAAAATGTTCAAAAGAATTTAATGGTCATGAAAGAAAAATTATTACTATTTGATTTCAAATTGGGCAAAAGACTTCTATGGTCATGGCTATGACTGAGTTTGCCATGATACAAAAACTTCACAGGATCTCTCTTCTGACTATTAAGTACACCTGTGAGATCAATATCTTGCACTGTTTCTTAGTTCCCTTTGCATTAGTTTGGTTTTTTTTACTGCAAAACTCTGATGACACAATTTTATTTCCACTTTAAGCTAGAGGTAGAAGGCACTCATTTGACAATCAATGAATTCCAACCTGGACAGGAAAATGGAGTACTGGAAAAAGGTGCCTGAAACTTTTGCTACTACTACAAATGATTTAGACCTTTTCCCAGAATTCAAAAGAGTATTAAATTGTAGTATGGAATGTTACCAAAGCAATATAAAGACACACACAGGTACTCTACTTCTTAATTTTTTGATATACAGAGTATAAACTTTACTTGAAATGTTTCCTTTTTCTCTCAAAAATGAAAGGTAAAAATGCACTAAAAAGGCCAGTCATCATCCTATTATTTAAAATGTAATTAGTTCTTCAGTATTACAATAAATGACAGTTCACAAATACGTGTTCTTCAAATCAAGTGAGACGACTTACTTTATTTTCTGATGTACCCAAGTAGGTATAGTAAATGAAAATTTCCCCACGAGCACCAAATGTGACTCCTATGGGATATTATTATTTTAAAAGCTAAATTTTTCTAGTTATTAAAAAAAATGTCTTTTATTCATTCTAAAAGAGACCCTCAGTTATAAAGTTATATTCCAGCTTATATCAACAATGAATTATACGTATTTTGCATCAGGGATTTTTATTATAAAATATAGATATTTTGTCAGCACTGCTATATAGATGACACACTTAAAGTTAGCAAGGCTTTGTTTATTTTTCAGCCCTGGTAGTAACAGACTTATACTTAAAAAAAGGAAAAAAAAAATTGAAACAATATCACTCCCCTGACCACCTTTGAAAAAAATAAGTGAAATAAGTTAAATTATGGTCAACTTTCAAATAACAATGTATTTCACAGAAAATTAAGAAAATGCTCAAAAAGGGTTTTTATATCCAGAACAATCCCTTGAACACTTCCTCACACTCTGATCACTCCCACATTACATACTCCTTCAGCACTTATAGTTTCTTCAATTGAGCCTGCATTTACATATTCATTTGTAATTAATTATTCTTTTTTCCTTCCCACAAGTTTTACCACTCTTAAGAATTAAAAATATAAAAAAGATTTCAATTCTTCTCAGCAATAATAGCATAGTAATTTAAAGAATCTGCTGAATGCGTGACATCTCCTTACTTTCTCAATTTTAAACAACGTAACATTATGACACCAAGGAATTTAAAAGCTGAATCAAGACTATTTCCTAAAGGCAGCTGTACTTCTTAGAAGTTTATAAAATATGGTACAAATTGTTAAATGGAAAAAATTGTTACCTCACCAGCTATTTTTCCCAGTTTGATACTAATACTATTAATAATACAATCATCACATTATGTTTCAACAGTTTTTTCTCAGTAATCCCAAACCAACTTTATGGACACACTTACCAAATTATTGAATTATTAAGTATGAATTAGCATCTGGTTAGAAGGATGCCACATTAAACAATAAAGAAACCACAACAGCAAGCAATTAGCTCAATACAAGAGTCAATCAGTTGAGATAAAACCAGAAACTCCATTTCTCTACTATTGCTTTCAAGTGGAATGTAAAATTATTTAGTGGATATTTTTGAAGACCTACAGACATGCATGCGAAAAAAAAATTTAATTATCAGCCAATGGGACATTCCTTCTGAAATTTGGTTGCCTTCTCCATCAGAGCACCTATTCAACTCTCTTTTTATCTATAACATTTTCATCATTCCTTGTCAAAAAATCTTGAACAAATGTTAACACCTGGCTTAAACACTATTTTCTTTTACGCAGCAAATAAGACATTTTCTTCTGTCTTATAATCCTAATTCTCCCCTGCATACCTATATATACTATATCTCATGTCACAAAGTCTACAATCTATATTAAGAATTCAGTCATCATTCTAAAATCTTTTCATCCTTTCAACTAGAGAACACTGAACAGTGTTTAGTCAATTTCCTGTTTCCTTCACTTGAACCAGTTGCCTTCAATCAAAATCATTCTATTCTTTTTTTTTCTACGTAACTTTCATTTTCCCAAGTCTTAGAACCTTGAAAGATATGAGATGTTATTCTCACACATTAATGCCTCCTCTATTATACCAGTTCTCTTTTTTCACTTTTATTTTTACCACTTCTCCTTTTTTCTCTTTTTCTTGCAACAACCTTGTTCCCTTTCATTGGTTTTGAAACAGGCTTTTTATACATATTACAAATAATTCAACAAAGATTTTTTGAGAGACTATGACATTCTAGTATGATGATGGAAACATCGAAGGTCTTCTTGCCCTGTTAAGCTTCCAGTTTGGTAAGCAAAAAAGGCACAAGCAAATAATTTTAAAATAATACTACTTATTAAGACAAAAGTATGCTCTTGGTGCTAGAGAAGCAGTTGGTCCAATCTAGAGGCCAGCGGAAACATTCTAGAGCCAGCAGCTCCTGAGCTAAGTCTTAAACCAGAAGAAATTGGGCTGGAAGCAAAGGTTAGAGGAGACTCCAAAAAGAAGAACAGCACGTGTAAAAACAAAAGAAATCAAACAGCACTGGGTGGATAAGAATTTCAAGTCATTCTGTATTATCAGTGCAAAATGACAGGAGGAAAACAGTAGAAAATGAAGTTAAAGAAATAGACAGGGGCCAAACCAGTTTGTCTTGAACTTGGACATAAGTAACCAGTCTGCCTTACATACACAACACTTCTCCCATCACCTATCATCTGTGTGAGACAGGAGTATTCCAGCTTTGGCTGACATAAGATCATTTGTGAAGCAACAATATTAAGATAATCCCAAAAAATTGAAACGAAAGTATTTTATTAACAAACATTAAGTAATGCCGACTAATAGCTATAAACACCTATGTGAATGGGTTCTTCCTGGTTGTTCCCTAACTTTGAGAAAGTCTAAAAACAAAATCAGAAATTTCTTAAATATAAGTTAGTAATAAATTTCTCAAATCCAGAATGCATAAAATAAATACCTACATTTCAGAGTGGTTATTATACCATCATGAAATATGGAGGTAACTGAACATATTTTTAAAAACTCAGTGTTAAATAAGCAGTAAGTATTCATATTATGAACAGAAATTAGAATGTAAAAATTTCCATATGTATGTGTACGTGCATATGTGTGTCTGTTTATTTTGTTACATGGTAATAACAAACTTTTCCCCAAAATCTTTATTTTGGGGAAAGGCAGGGGGGTTGAAGGAAAGGAAATTTTGTTAAATGGTAAATCTATCAGTAATTAGAAATAATAGTTTACCTTAAAAAATAACAGTAAGTCCTCTAACAACACTTAAAATCCATAAAAGAAATGACTATGACCATTTAAAATCCTAGAAATTTTTGTTTCGTTAATGAGTAACACCTGTAGCGATCCCTGTTTCAAAACAATGAATACTATTGGGTCATTGGGAAAGTCCTGGTGCATTTTTGCATTGAAAAACAGAAAAATACATCATGACTTTCCCAACTACCCAATATATGAAATGCTCTATGAAAGGATATATAACTTGAATACACTCTTTTACTCCTGAACTGGGGAAAAACATAATGCAGCTAACAAAAAGATACGCTCCTTTCAACTAGAACCAAGTTTTAAAGTAGTTCTCTGCTTAAACAAAATACACATATTCCCAAAGAAATTTTTCATTACATTCTTATTAAAATATAAAGAAAGAGAAGTAAACCTACTTGTGTCTGCTTGGCTTCCCACACTGATGTATCTATCGTTGCCAGGGAGCGCTGTTTGGTAGTAAGTTGTCTCTTCCTGCTGAGGGGTCTTGGCATTCTTCGCAGTAAGGAAAGCCACCGCTAATTCCAAGTTTCCATTACTATCCTTCAAACAGCAAGAACAGAACATCAAATATGGTGAAACATTTCTAAACATTCTCACATGATTTATGTAATGTTCTTCATAACAACTAATACTTAATAGAGAAAATCATTTTTTATTTGAAATTATTCTTGTAATTCTAAGTTTACAGTATAAATTCATTGTAAACAAAATACACTACATCAATAGTGATTCCTTTTCTATTAAAACTATTAATATAATGTAAATGAATTGTATTACTAATGTCTCAGTTTTCCATTACTGTCATATCTGCTTAACAAAAGTCAGTCATAAACTTATACTTCTAAAAAATGTTTTCTGGAACTTGCCATAGAAAAGGGTGAAAAATGAATATTTATAATAGTGCTTCTGCAAACAAGGGCAATAAAAGGTACTTCCTTTAATATGAATGCTAAATACATGCCTACAGCCAACCTTAAGCAAATTTCAAAGGCTTTAAGGAAGAAAATGGCAAAATGTTTTGAAGCTTCCTAGTATGAAGAGACGGAACTCCTAGACAGAAATACTCAGTACTGACAAGACAACAATCCTACCCAAATATAAATACTATATACACTTTATGTAGTTCTCATCAAAAGCATACCTGGACACAACTTTATTCTAAAGTTAATTTAAAGGAAAGCAGATGCTAGGAAACTAAGAATTTCTGAAACAACAAAATAAGAAGAGAGTTGCCCAGTTATATCGCTATGCTCTCTGTACAGTTAACAATAAATGTAACACTGGCTCTATTACAGCTGAGACATTAGAAAATCCAGATATTAATAATGAAGTTATCTTTGTAACAGAAGGCCCGAAAATGTAAGACTATGTAAGGCCTTCAGGACTTTAGTACACGGGAAGTGTGACAGGAAGCCAGTGGAGAGTTTGGGACAGAAATGACATGGCATGACTTGTATTTTAAAAAGATCACTTGGTCTGTGTGTTGAGAATAGACTATAGGGGAGAAAGGGCATAAATAGAGTCCAACATTATTTGCCATCATATTAAATGTGGGGGGTGACAGAAGGAGAAAAGATCAGGATGATTCCAAGGTATGAGCCTGAGCAACTGGAAGAGTGAAGTCCCCACCCCACCCTAGCTCCAATTCTAGCAGCTGGTGAAGAGAGAGAAAAGAGTGCAGCTTAAAAAGCAACACTGCTTTAAACTTTATCTGTCACAATTACTGTAAGATTCTTACTTAAATGATTCATCCAAAACTTGGGTATATGTTCTATAGTGAGATAAGTAAACTTGTTGTAAAATAATTTGCAATAACAAGGGCTAGCATTTATCGAGCACTCAGTATGTGCCAAGAAATGGCCAAGTGCTTTTCACATGCTACCTCATATAATAAATAATAAACTAAATGCGACAGGGATTTACACAACCTGAAGGTCACTTACTTTGGAGGGCTAAAATGCTCAAAATACAATAAAAAAAGTATTGAAATTTATTCAATAGCACGTGGCTCCCAAAAATAGACTCCTTGTCAGTATACAACTGAGAAAGTCAGCTCATTATTAAACATCTTACGAATTTATACTGGGCAACAGTTAACATTTAAGCACATTATTTCCCCTCACCCCCACCACAGTTACTGGTAACTGAAATAAAAGTTAAAAAAATAAATAAATAAGGTCACACAACTTACCACAATCAAAATGCGGACAAGAAGTTAAATTGATTAATTCTCTACTCTTATTTACTTAAATATATTCTATATGTTAGTTTAAAAAAAGAAAAGCCAATTCCCTAAATTTGCCCTGACAAGGTAATGGGTGTAGCCTCCCACTCAGGGATACAGAATGGGACAGACACTTCCTGAAAACACACACGGAGTGATTCAGTCATATTTATCAGAGCAAAGAAAAAAACTGGCAATCATCTAAAGGTCATAAGCATGAAGATTGCGGTATGACACTTTTGCTTCTGCTCCAAATACTTACATTGGCTTCATAAACCCTGCATTAATGCTCTAAACAGTACTATTTCATCATTTTTCTACTGGGGGAAAAAAAGCTGAAGCAAAGCTAATAAAAGCAGAAATTAAGTGTGGAATCAGGCTGCTTGGTTTCTATTCCAAGCTCTTCCACATACTAGTGTGATCTTAGCAAGTCACTTTAACCTCTCTCTTTCCTTGTGTTTTAAAAGGGGATGAAAACACTACCTACCTCAGAGTTACTGGGAGTTATGATGAGTTAGCCAAATGAAGTATTTAGAACAGACCTGTTACTATAAGTGTTTAACACGTGCTAGCTATTATCACTATCATTATGATGATTCTGATACACTCATCTAAAAGATAAATTATTTCTAGAAACAAATGAACTTTGGGTTCAGAATTAAAAATCACATAATTAACTTTGCCTCATGGAGCACATTCCAAAGGATGGAAGCTGTACGGAGGCCTATAGTGGCACAAATACAATATTGCCATTAGCCTTCAGTAGCAATATATACTCATAAATAAGCTTAAAATGCAGTTCCAGTTCTTGAACACCTTTCATTACTTGATCTTTTTCAATGTGCATATATTTACATGATCTGACTCATTTGGATACCTCCATGTGGAAATGAAGGCACTTCATAAGATACTACCAAAATGATACACTTTATTTGTTGCATGTACTAAACAGTTTGATGATGAATATTCATAAGGTGCAATAAGTTGAATGTTAGTCAATTTTTATTTCTCCTTCATGGAAGGAAAAAATGTAAGCTTTTGACAGCCTATTAATTTTTTACTTCTCCTTCCTCCTCTTCCTTCTCTACCCCACCCTCCTCTCCAGCCCCCATTTAAACTCTAAAAACATGGCTCTTGAGTAGAACCAGCCATCAGCATTTGAATTCACACCCCTCCATTTTGCATGAAAAGTGTTTAGAACAGAGACAGGTTATCTGTCGCTCCAAGGAACATTAGGTTGCTGAAAGCTAACATGCTCAGAATTGCAGTATGTTATGTTAAGTAAGGCTCTTACTTTATAAAAGTTCTTTCTTATATCTCTACTACTACTACTTGGTATAACTAAAAAACTAAACTTTCAAATATGGTAGGCAGTAGAAATGAGGGTGCAACACAAACTCTATGTCATATAACAGAGGCCATACCTTCAAGGCTTGCTGTAGTATCTGGGTGTCATTAATCCCAGTAATTTCTCTCAGCTGATTCAAAAACGTCTGCTGGTGCTAGAGGAGGGGAAAAATCAAAATCATTACACTCTGAAATGTAAAAATATAAATAACCTTTAGGGAAAAAAAACAACACAACGAAAAAACAGAATATGCAAAGTAAATCTGAGTCAAAAAAGAACAAAAACGGGCCGGCTGAGTAGCATGTTGGTTAAGAGTTGGCTTGGGACGTCAGCTGTGAGCAGCAGGGCCCCAGTTCGGATCTCAGATGAGGGCCAGTGACACTGCCCTCTACAGCCAAGATGGTGAACAACAGCTCAACCTGGAGTTGGGCTGCCATGAGCTTCCGTGAGTGGCTGGCAAGACAGCGTGAGCGGCCTGCGGCTGGCAGCCGGCAGCCTGCGTGAGCTTCTGTGAGGCACCATGAGCGGCCATCCAGTGGCTGGCAAGCGACTGCCTCACCTGGGAAGAACGCAATGATCACAATACCAGCATGGGCAACGTCCTCCACAACTAGATTGAAGAACAAAAGGACAGCAACTTGTCTGTTCCCCTCCCCCAATTCCCCAATAAAATCTTTAAAAAACAAACAAACAAACAAACAAAAAAAGACCAAAAACTTGACTCAACAAATTTCATTCCTTTAGGAACAATGAACCATGCTGTAGAGAGCCCTTATTCCATTCTCATATTTCCAAAAGAACACTTTCACATTACTCTCCAAAGGTCTTAGTGAACTAACAGTTTCTGGCCCATTCTTCATTTATGCCACCCAAAAAGAAAAGGAGTGATTATGATGGCTAACTTTGAGAAGAACTAAGGAAAACTGGCATCTAGTGAGCCACTTCCACAGACTGAAATCAGCCAGCTCCACTAATTTCTCTCTGTCCCGAAGGTCATCCAGCATCCAGGCACCAGGGATGTTTGAAAAAAAAACATGCTCTGGCAGGCCATGCACTAGATAGGTATATAACATCATGGGGATCCAAAGATCTATTCGGGGAGAAAAAAAAATCATTTCACTTTCCAATCTGTCATAAAAGATCCTAAACAGAATTGATCACTTGCCCCCATTTGCTTCAAATCCATTTATACTCTATTGGTCTATATACTAGTAATTTATTACACTCTATTGGAGAGAAAAAGAGGTAGGTAGATAGGATGCTACTATCAAATCCTTCCCTGAACTTCCTTAATTAAGAGCCATGTTCCTCCTTATACCTCTGTATTTCTTTAAACAAGTTCCCAAGACAGCACCATGAAATAAAGACAGCTCAATGGATATGATACGAAAAACAAGATGTTGGTAGAATAAAAGGATCTGATAAAATCTTTCTGGAAAATTGTTTTACATGCATCTCAGTAATAATTCAGTCAAGAATCATAAATGGATGATAAAACTATTAGGTGAAAGTTTGATTAGAAGTAGGATAGTTATATAGTTTCAAACTCTCTTCCTAGAAATTATAAAAGGACAAGGAGTAACTACAAAGAAGAAAGCTGACAGATAACACCGCAACCAAGTGATCACAGAATCACCAATGGGATACAAGGATAGTCAGTGTATGCCTCTTCATATGATATGATCCACCAAGACAATATCATCTGTTCCAAAAAATGCATAAACTGAATCTAATCTTCAGGAAGCATCAGATAAGTCCACACTGAGGGGCATTTCACAAAATAACTATTCTGTTATCTTCAAAATGTCTGTCATGAAAGACAAAGGGATGAGTTTCCAGATTAAAAGGGACCAAAAAGGCATGGCAAACAAATGGAATGTGGGAGGTCAGACGGCCTCTCATACTAAATTCTATACAGGATATTACTGGGGCAGTGGGAAAAATATGAATATGGACTGCTTAGTAACAACACTGTATTAATATTAAATTCCTGAATTTGATAACTGTACTACAGTTATGTAAGAAAATATATTTTTCTTAGGAAATGTATCCCGAAGTATTTATATGGTAAGGGGGCATGCAACTTATTCTCAAATGGTTCAGAAAAAAAATTTGTTATGAAAGTTCTTTACACTAATCTTGCAACTTTAAATTTGAAATTACTTCAAAATAAAAGGTTTTAAAATGTTCTGCATAAACTTGATGTAAGAATTGTAAAATGTACATTTCATGTACATGTTTGATAATTTAAATATACATGATGTATAAACATTCAGTGATGAAGAGTCCTAAACAAATTTCAAAATAAAATGAAAAAATAAATAAAAGCAATTTGAAAGTCAAGTCTGAGATAACTCTAAATATCTTTTAGAGAATCTGCATGTATGCTAGAAATTATATTCAGCTACATGCAACACAGTCCCATCTAAACAGTAGCTTCAACGTCCTACAGTGCCTTTTTTCCTGATACAAGCAGACTGGGGGTGGGCCGTTCACATCTGATAAGGACATCCCATATGATATCAAAGATCTAAGCGCCTCCTGTCTTCCCACTAAACATCCTTATAGGTGAGTCATCAAATGTCTGTCACTCCACATCTCCTCCTCCAGCATCCTGTCCAAGTTTTAGGTGGGAGAAAGGGATGGGCAAAGGACAAAAGATTTCTGCAAAACGATCTGCCTTGTTTAACAAACCCCATCAAATATCTTCCACGTAGGGCTTCAATGAGCAAAACAGTCACATGGCCACTTATGGTTACAAAGGATGTTGGGAAATGTACTTTTCAGCGAGGCAAAAAGCTGCTCTGAAAATGAAATCAGGGTTCTGTTTGTTAGGAAAAAAGGAAAGAAAGTATATTGGACAGGCATTGGCAGTATCTGCCATGCCATCAATTGTCAAATTTACAGAGCTAAAATATAAGAAAAATAAAATTCTCCTTAAACCTGTCAACTTGTCTTTCATTTAAAAAAATAATCAATAACTAGCAATGGAACCACGACAAAGTTACGCTATACCCAACATTACAAATTAAAGATGCATAAAAATATTACAGAAATTCTCCTTATCTATTACAATGTCTTACTTTAATGAACATAAAATACTTAAAGGATTTTATGAGCCTGTTTGTAATCTCATCATCATCAGTACTCCAAACTCCATTCTTTACCCCAAATATTATTTTCCTCAACCACAAATTAATCAATCCTAGATCAGGGAAAAACCATTGAATACCCCCCCCCAAATTAATCATTTGTACAAATGTTGCTGGTTATTATTTATAATGCTGGGAAAATGGAATCAGTGAAAATGTCCTTGCATTAAGAAATTCTAAACTTTAATATACAGAAGAATGACCTGATGAGTCTATTAATAATGAAGATTCCCAGCCCCCAAACCCCCAGAGATTGTGATTCCAGGGAGGTTGGGGTTAAAGCTAAGGGATCTGCATTCTTAATAAGCATCTCAAATGATTTTGATACAGATGGACCTAGAAGCACAGTCTAGGTTAAGCAAACAACTGTGTATTTTTAATAGCAAAATATGCAATCTTTAAAGGAGTTATCTTTACAAAATCACATTAAGCTGAAGTGGTAGAATACAAAATAGTATATATACATATTAATGACTACAACATAAAATCTAAACCTGAACATAAAGCCCAGAAAAGATTACAGAGCCTATGTCAGACTCCCAGCTCTTCTCCCATCTCTGTATCCATACCCTTTGCTATTTTTCACTTCCTCCCACTAGAAAGAGGCTATATTTCCCTGCTGCACTGATGATGGGCTTGGCCATGTGACATGCTTTGACCAATGATACATTAGCAGACAGCATGCGAGCAGACACGAAATGTGCTTGCAGGGCTGGGCTTGCCCACTTCAACTTCTGCAACTTCCTAAGAACATGAACTGGGTAGCCCAGTTGCCCTACAAGAATGAGGCACGTGTGGAGAAGAGCCATCCAACCAACCTGCAAATCTATGAACATGACAATAATATTTTGGTATGCCAGTAACTTTTGGAGTGGCTGTTATGGTAATAGTTGAGTGATTCAGAGTGCAAGAAGAATACTGAGTATTTTATGAAGAAAAGCAATGTCTTCAAAATGTTATTATGGTTTGGTGTTTTGTTATCTTTCACAATAAATTCAGCTAAATATCCTAGAAAAAATAAGCCAGGTATATCTCTAGCATGGTTCATGATCTCACGAATTTTAACTGAAAATAAAACATGAAGAGAAAAGCACTGGGATGGGGAAGACGGCTAAGTGGAAAGGAGAAAAGGTGAAAGAATTTTCTTAGCTAAGTTAGCAAGAAATGGGAAAGTGATCAAAAGTGGTGAGCTATGAGGAAAATTCTAAGTTTATGGCAGAAAAGCCACCCCATTTGTAAAGTTTTCCCTTTGTTACTGGCATCTTCCAGCTGTGCTTTTTCTGTCTTTGAAAACCTGCACCTTTAATTCCTACAATTATATGTTTTTGTTCCTGCTATTTCTGTTGTAATTAAGACCTGGTCTTTCTTTCCAGGTTTTCACTTTCCTATTTGCCAAACTTCTGGTCTTCGACACATCCTGATCTTCAACTAAAAATATCCTGCATATGGTTTTCTCCTTCTTTACTGGTAATTTTGGATCTAAGGTGGATCCACCCACGTCCATCTCTAGATCTCCTTTTCTCAGCTCCAAGGTCTTCCTTGCCCGGATTTCTTCTCTACTCAAGTATAAGGAGGTAGGTGCAACCTGTTCACACTGTTGGAGCAAGAAGGGCAAGACACAATGTTTAAAGAGAGTCAGTGGCTTGCAAACACCACAAAAATCAGTAAACAAGAAAGCCAAGACTACATACAGGCCTTCAGATTCCTTCCTCAATGCTATTTTTACTGCATATGACATGTTTAAGTGCCTACCATGTGCAAGATACAGTACTAAGCACTTCACAGAGAAGAAAGCATCAGTAAGTTTAATATAAATTAAGGATCAGAGGGTTTCACAGAAATTCTTTCCCTTTCCCATTAACCCTACCTAATGTCAGGTCTGTTTTAAATCTGTTTCAATAAAGACTACGTACAGTATATATAATACTGGTATAACTTCAAGGATTAAAAAAAAAGGGGATCACTAGTTTAGACCAAGGAAAGAGCATAAGCATTTATTATG